TTACTCAATGATAGAAAAGGTTGGAAACAATTGCTTTAGGTGTTACTATCTCATAGAAAATAAATCAAATAAAAGCTTGAGTACCTACTGTACTTGAATAAATCTTACTTTCCCGTTCTCTTTACCAGTGAACAAAAGCATAATATCGAGGTTTATTTGTCTGCTACTCTCAAAATGAGTGTCTGTAAAGTTAATGAGATCTCACTGTAACTGCCAGACAGTAAAGACAGCAGTCTTTCATGTGCGCTGAGCTCCTGCTAACAAGCTCTGCTGCAGCAGCTGTTGGTGTGTGTGTGTGTGTCGTCAGGTTGGGACTCTCTGAGGGCTGTCATCAGGCCCCACGTGGATCCTACAGGAGGTAATGTAATGACCCCTCTACTGCCTTGCCCCTCAAACCCTTACAACACACATGCAGCAGCCGTCACAGAGCCATGCCTCACCTCTTCTACCTTCCTCCTTCACACACACACACACACACACACACACTCGTGCGCTCACACTGATAAAAAACTAGGTTATCATAGCAGTTATTTCTGCTGCAGGGCATATAGCTTACAAAGCAGAAGAACCTGTTTCAAGGCATCTCAGGACAAACTGTATCAGAGATAAACATGCACACACACTAAAGCCACAAAAAGTCAAAATAATAAAAATTAAATTAGACTCTTTAACAATTCTTTGGTGCTCCATGTGTTGCGTGTCTGTAGGCCACACACGTTAACACAATAATACACCATGTAGAGTAATTTAAACACAGGACATACTTTCAGGGAAAGGTCAACATAGCATAATAAGGCCAACGTGAGTTTTTTCCAAAACTGTACTTCTGACATTTCGAGGCATTTGACTGCTGTTGAATAAATATCATTACAGCCTTTTTGTACAGTATGCCGAAAGTGCTCCCATTAAAAGAGCAAATTGTAATCAAATGTCTAAAAAAGAACAGAAACGAGGAAAAATAAAAAATAAAAAAATTCACTTGGACGAAAGCCTGCCCCCACAAAGAGCACGCATATTACTCATCCCCCACAGAGCCGCCTTGCTCTAGTGTATTGTGGGAGGACTGGGGTGGGCGGCTGTGCAGGGGATTGGGAGCTGCGTTATAAGACTACACCACACATGACTTCAGCTCGCATGTAACATATTAGCATAATGTTTCCTCACCTTCCCCTCACACTAAGTGGCTTCTGTTTCAGCCCAGTGTGAGTGTGTGTGTATATACTGTATGCACTTCAAAACTAATCAGGAAAGCCAGTGTGGTGGAACCCAGACATCTTGTTTATCCTGCGAGATTTACCCGCACTTCACCTTCAGAGCCACACATGCTCTCACTTTACATACCCAAACACACACACACATTCGCACACACACAGAGTGAAGGTCTTGTGCTTGTCCCAGGTGCAGAGAAATCTGTGAAGCAGCATGTGGCTTGTCCCAGTTCCTCTATACAGTACCTGTGTGCCTTTGTGTGTGTATATGCATGTGTGTGTGTGTGATTGCGTATTGCGACAAGACTGACCCATTTGAATCTTAACACAGGCGCTCACCAATGCAATTCCTGAAACTAGTTCAACATGTAGGCTAAGCTGCGTATAGCAATGTCACAGAGCAGCAGGAGTGATGGACACTGACGGAGGCTGGGGGTCAAAGGGCACGCAGGGAGCACATGTAGGACATTAAAGGAGCATTTAGAGCAAAAAAGTGTTGCTCTATGCGTGATTTTGAAATGCAGGGTGAGGTCAGGGTGTCAGGAAACGCCAAATGCTCATATGGGGCGCTGAGGAGAAGAACTAGGCCTCCACATTCTGCATCCTCTCTTTCCCAGGGAAGTCAGAAGTCATTTCAAAGCACTGCACGTCTAATGTGTGTTCTGTCCAAAGCAGGTGTGTGTGAGAGAGAGAGAAAGAGAGAGAGGGGAGAAGGAGAAAAGCAAACAGAGACAGAGAAGAGAGAGTGAAAGAGCTGTGGAGGGAGGGAGAGAAAGAGAGAAGCAAACAGAGAGTGGAAGAGAGAGGAGTGGAGAGAGAGAGAGAGGGATTGGATTGTTTCTTTCTCTGGATGCCACCACCAGCAGCAGCAGCAGCAGCACCAGCAGCTCGGATCTGGACGAGAGGTGACCGGGGGCTGAGGGTGAAGGTGTGTGTGTGTGCCTGAGTGTGTGTGTGTGTCTGTGTGTGTGTCTGTGTGTGTGTGTGTGTGTGGCGTCTGGCGGAGAGACACTGCAGGAGCGCGGAGAGAGGCTCAACTTGCTCCCTCTCTGCGCCGCTCTGCCCTCTGTGTGTCGCCGCGTCTCCCTCCCTGCGTTTCCCCGGGACACAGACATCTGGCGTGGTGACATGTGAAGAGGGCTTGGAAGTATGGCATGCAAAGATGGTTTCTGCCAAGAAGAAGGAGACGGTGACAGCGATGCGCCCCGCTTTTATTCGGACCCTCTTCTACTTTTTCTGTTTGGCGACTTGGTGAGTCCCCACAGTGTCTCTCTCTGTCCGTGGTGCTGAAAGCAGACAAAAAACGACACTAATAAGGCTTCTCTCCTCTTCTTTGGTTTTTTTCTTGAAGTTATGGTTTCCTGATTCTTTTTTTTTTTTTTCCTTCTTTCTAGTGTAAAGAAAATCTCTGGACAGACAAAGAAGGATGAAAGGATCTATCCGGAGAATTTTACTCGCATTTTAGACCGACTTCTGGACGGCTATGACAACAGGCTGCGACCTGGATTCGGGGGTAAGTAGGGAAATAAATGCGATTATTTTTGTGCACTATGAAGCATTTTCCATATGAAAACTGCTGATAGTAATCACACGACAGCACTGGCACACTGTGCATCTTCAAATTAAAAAGAGGGAAGAGGCAACTTTATCTTTTATTTTACTTTTTTTTGTGCCATATGAGGTTAAAATACGCCATAACGCGCAATAATGTAGCTGTTAACTCACTACTGAGCACCAAACATACATTATAAGTCATTTTTTTACGCACAGCAATCATACATAACCTCTGAAACACTTGAACTTTATTTTTATTTGACTTTTTTAAGTGCATTAAAATGACTGTAAACTCACCACTGAGCACCAAATACACCATGTAAGTCAAGTCAAGTCAGTTGTATTTGTATAGTCCGACATTTCACTATCTTTAGGCCCTAAAAACTCCTCCATAAAACCCATTAACAGGAGAAAAATGGAAGGAAAATGGAAGAAATCTGACGGAAAAAGCATCAGAGGAGCGATGCTTCTTCCAGGACATGCAGTGGACGTGGTGCACAACTCATAATGGGGACATTATAGCAACAGTGTCATGTTCTCTGTGTGGGAGACTTGCATTGTATGCTTCGTGGTGTTTCACGACACACGGGATGTGACATCGTGTTTCAGACTTGATCCTGTAAGCCTGGTGTGGCTCTGCAGTCTGGCGAAGGGGGCCTCTAAGCTCGCACGTTTGCAAGTTATATAATAATGGTGTGTATGTCCGACGCTTAAATGCAGAGTTCAAGCGCTAGAAGTGCGGATTTGGATTTCCTGCACATCATGTCTGAAAACCAGGACGTGTTAATAAGCAGCGTTTTCTTCTAAAAGAGACATCTCATTAGTTTATGTGCAAAAAAAGAAGAAGCAGCCTGTCAACAGAAATGTGCACACTGTGGTTTTGCTTATCCCTGCACTTATAAACAACGTCTGCCTCCACATTCATTCACTGAAGGAAAAAAAAAACACACACACAACAAACAGGATTATGTTTTTACATCTTTTAAGCTATTTTTTCACTTCCATTATGCGAAGGCTCTGGATGAGATAAGCTTTTGCGTGTCTTTTTGGGGCTTGATGGGGCTGTAAGGTTTATAAAGACTGTTTATGCACAAAAGTGTAAATAAGACTGGTGTGAGGCTGGGCTGTGACACGGAGGGATTTAAAACAGGAAACAGTTATTAAATGTGACACTTGTTGTCTGTTTCATTGACTCTATAGGTCCTGTGACTGAGGTCAAGACCGACATTTACGTGACAAGTTTTGGGCCTGTGTCAGATGTTGAAATGGTATGTACCCTCACTTTAAATGTCTTATATTAAAAGTCCAGTGTGCAGCATAGTGGAGGATCTATTGACTGAAATGAAATATAATATTCACATATGTTTTTATGAGTCTATAATCACCTGAAAATAAGAATCATTGTGTTTTTGTTACCCTTGAATGAGCCACCACAGGTCGCCTTCCATGTTGAACCGACAGACCAAACACTATCTCTAGAAAGGGCCAATAGATGCCACTAAATCCTACACACTGGACCTTTAATACTGTTAATACTTACAGTGCATGCACCTTAAGTTCACAGAACTTTGTTCCAGGTAGTCAAATTATGCTCCAGTGGAAGATCCATGGAAATAAGATGTTTTATTTAGCAGACTTTCTTCCAGATTAATGCAGATAGTCATGAAGCAATACCATCCCACCTTCCAACCTCTTCTGTTTGTTCTTGCAATTCATTTCCCTGTCTTAGGAGTACACAATGGACGTGTTCTTCAGGCAGACGTGGGTGGACCGGAGGTTGAGGTACGAGGGCCCGATAGAGATTTTGAGGCTGAACAACCTGATGGTGACTAAAGTGTGGACACCGGACACCTTCTTCAGGAATGGCAAGAAGTCAGTCGCTCACAACATGACGGCTCCCAACAAGCTTTTCCGCATCATGAAGAATGGCACCATTCTGTACACCATGAGGTACTGCAGTAGCTTCACTCCATCACTGTATGATAAGTGTGTGGACTCAAGCCACAAACTTCAGACTTGACTTGCAGTATCAGTTGGAACAAATGATACCAAAGATGATTTTGTATTATTCGCTGTGTTGTTAAAATTGCATTATATTTGGTGAAGAGTTCATTAAGACTTGTTTAAGACTCAAAACTCAAAGTTTACGACTTGGAACATGCAAAACAATGGACTTGGTCCCACCTCTGCCATCTATTAAAATGAAACACCTGATGAATAATAAACCAATACTTTAGCCTAACTTAGATCATACTGTTATGTTAAATGACTATATGTCTATTTCCTGCTATTTTAACATAATGTGTAATGGCTGATGGGGGAATCGACTCTTCTCATGATTCATATTCTATAGTTTTGTGTTTGTGCTAATTAAAAAAAAGTTGGAGAAAGAGAGAAGACAGACTTTGTTTGATTTAAAGCAATCAAGCAAATTTGCTGTGAAATCAAACCCAGTGGCTCACAGTGTCAACAGCGCAGAGGCTGCCAAATGTTTCAATCTTAAATTCAATATAGCAGTCAAAAACCGGCTCCTTTGCCTTTTTAGTGAACAGGGTTTGGTAAAAACCTTCTATCTCATCACTGATATGCATTCATATCAGAATAATCAACAGTGCATGCTCACATTTAGCGATTACAAGCTTCTTTATTAGAAACATATGAAGTGAAACTCACTGAATGCTAAATAGTGCCTAATTTTTGCACATATTCTGGATGCATGTGTGAGTTTTTTTGTGTGATCTTTAATTGAGCAGCTCTTCTTTTATACTGCAACAGGTTGACTATTAGTGCCGAGTGTCCCATGAAGCTTGTGGACTTCCCCATGGATGGACATGCGTGCCCCCTCAAGTTTGGAAGTTGTAAGTCCTCTATGCGTGTGTGTGTGTGTGTATGTGTGTGTGTGTAAGTGTGGGGGCTTGTTTTACTACATCTGTGGTGTCCAAAAACCAGGAGCTCACTTGTGGGGTCCAACAGGTTTATGGGGACCAGAATGCAGGAAATCACAAGTTAAAAAGGCTGTTTGACGGTTAAGACTTAGTTTTAAGGATTAAGGTTAGGGTAAGGGACTAACGAATATATAAAGAGGTAGAAACAGAGATAGAGAGACATGGTCAGTAAACGATGTTAATATATAATTATATCTAATATAAGTGTAGCTCCCTCCAGTAGTGGACACAAGGTTATGGTTAAAAGCAGGATTTATTCCTCCTGACAGACAAACTGGATTAAAGCTGAAAAATAAAATAGCAAAATGCATGTAGGTCTTATACAGTTTTTGCCATTTTAACTGTATAACAGGTCGCATATAGCACCTAGCATACACTAACACACACACATACAAAGCAAAACTTAACCATAAAAAAACAATCACTCACTTGTACATTTATTTATTCAGTAACGTTATATATATATACTATAATGTTTACACTTTCTTTACTGTATAGAAATTAAACATATCTCGTCCGACTGCTTACTGCTTAAGAGGCACAAGAGGCACTAAACCTAGCTTGCTTCGTCCTTGTTCTTGTTTTCAGTCTTTTAATATGTGTATGTTTTTAATATTTTAACTTTGCTAGCACTTTACTTGCAAGGTGTTGATTAATTGAGTCGTGCGGGAACACTAGAATGGCAACAGCAATTAGGTTCACCTCCAAAAATACTACATCACAGGTAGGAACCAAAAATAGCAGTGACCAAACTGACAACGTGAGGCAGTTACACTAAGAGTAAAGTACACAGCAGACGAAGAGGGTAACCAACAACCAGATGTTTGCTGATTTGCTCTGACAGGACAAATTTAAACCAGCTGTGCACTTGCAGCTAACTGGTGGCCAGTGATACATCTACAGTATGTTGCCTCAAATACGAAAATATGAGACATGCAAGATGTCATTTACAAAGTGATTATAGCTAATCGTGTTTGTACTACGTGTAATCAATGAATCATTACAGCAGGTTACGTCTGAATCATTATTATAGTAACTGAACAGATAAACCGATTGCCGAGAAGACTGGCAGCGTCTGCCGGCCTCCACACTACATTTTATATGTTGTGCCTCGCGGTGTCGTTTCACAGGAGACCCACTGGATTGCTTTACATCACTAAACAGGAGGCATCCCAATTCGCAATTAAAACACAGGATTTAGTTTCAGCAGAGGTTTGACTTTATTTTAGCTTACCTGAATTTAGTTCTCAAAAACTTAAGTGACTTCAGTGAGAGGGAGCAGGGGGAAAAAAACAGGATTATTAAAGGAAAAGACTTGGTACCAGATATGAAGCTACAGCCAGCTGCCAGCAGCCAGCTGCCAGTTAACTTTAATAGCACTCGCATTTCTGTCTGGTAAATATGAAGCATTTGCCTGCAGTCGGTTAGCTTAGCTTAGCATAAAGACACAGGGTGAAACAGCTAGTCTGCCTCTAAAACTCACTAATTAACATGTTAAATCTTGTTTGTCTAATTTGCACAAAGTGTAAAAATTACCAAGCGTCTTGCTGTTTCTACCTGTGTTTGTGCTAAGCTAAGCTAACCGACTGCAGGCAAATGCTTCATATTTACCAGACAGAAATGCAAGTGCTATTAAAGGAAACAATTGTCGAACTATTTATTTAACACCAATGGAAACGATTACCGTTCATCTCAGTTGCTTGATTTTAGCTGCTAGCTTTTTATGGTTAATTTAAATGATATATAAATGAGTTTAGGAAGGTAAGGAAGTCTGTCACAAATATAAAGTTTGCCCTGGTTTGGTCTGAAAAGCTGGATCACATGACTATTCTCCTCTTGGCGCTGAAATGGATTCTGTGCTGAAAAGAGTGCTGAGGAGCTGAGCACTTTGTCTGACACAAAGCGACTGAATGCTAATACTAAATAATGAAGTATTTCATTCTTCATTGTGAACAATGAAACCCTAGCTCAGCACCAGTGTTTATATTGGGACTACTGGTCAGCAGAAATGACTTATCTCAAATAAAGGAGTCTCTCAAATAGAGCAGCTCCGTCTTATCGGAGAAGAGCAGCAATTTGAAGATTACATCTGCAAGAGAAAGGAAAGGAAAAGACAACGAGTTTGCCTTTACACTCACCCAATCCGCCATCAATTACCCAGTGTGGTGACATTGCAGAGGACAAATTCACATTTTCTCAGTTATTGTCATCCGTCTCCCCCTCCTCCTCCTCCTCCTCCTCCTCCTCCTCGTCTCACCATCCTGCTCTGCTGCTGCTAGCCTCCAGTCAGGAGGAAGCGACCATGGATCTGATGTGGCCTGAAGCAAAGGAAAGGTCAGAATCCCTTCCTCTGCCTCAGGATAGTACAGACCTATGCAGCTATTTTCCATAGCTGGTGTGTGTGTGTGTGTGTGTGTGTGTGTGTGTGCTAATTTTCTCTCTGTCTGCCCTGCCGTCATTTTTTCTACATCTCTCTTTCTCCCTCCCTCTCTCCGTCTCCTTTTCTGTTTCTCCATCTGGACTTGTGTGCACAGGCATTGCGTTCCACTCCATGACACACCAGAGTCATTTCATTTTGGCAGCACAGTTGGTATCCTGCCGATGTGGGGTCCCATAGGGAGTGGCAGGCACAGACAACTGGCATTTTCCTTGTGCGTCCGCAGACTGGCCAACCTCGCCAGGATACAAACAGAAAAATGCTCTGACGAGGCAATATTGGGAAATAAATGTATGACTTAAAGTATTGTTAAATTAAAGACAATAGAGAATTTATCTGACCTTTTCAACTTTTGTAGGAGGCTGGATGTCAGGATGATGCATCAGTGAGTAAAAAATGACAGATGGGACCTCCTGTGAACTTTGACTCCAACCACATTGCATTGGTTTCAGTGGATTGGATGTGTATTTCTATTAGAAAATGTCAGCCAATCGGTGCCATTTCAGTGACATATGATGAAACATTCTCCTTATTTGTCTTGCAGAATAGTAAATTAATTACTCCCGAGGTTCCCTATGTTTGAATAGAAGTGAGGGGTCAAGCTGCCTCACAGGGCTGGTAGCCGCTAAAAAATTAATTAGTCAGTGGAGAGTTTTAGTGTCCTGTGATGCTGCTTCAGAGGCTTTTTGCCTTGGAGAAACAATGAGCAGTAATCATTTTAACTTAAAACCTTCAAATTGAAGGAAATGTGTATTCAAGAATAAGAATTAGGATATTAACGTTTGCTCTTGTATTTTAGTTGATGTTCACAAAGAAGTGGCGTCAGGTATCAGGAGAGACTTCAGAGCTGTAGTCTAAAGTTTACTGGAGGCAGCAGACTTTATTAAATTACTAACGTTTTGAAGCAGGTGTGTCTTCATCATAACTGAACAGAGACTCACATCCTCCTAAATAACTTAAAGAGACTCATTCAGCACAGGCTGCAGAAGAAGGGAGGGGACAAAAAGACATTTCATAAATAAGTCCATAATATGTATCCAAATATAAGTAAACTATATTAAATAGCTTGTATTAAACTGCTATAAATAGCTATACCACTCACCTAATAAGAAACAACCCAGCCTAAATTAGAAGAGTGGACAGCATGTAGAAAATAATCTATTATATCAATTGATGTCTCATCATTTAAACATGTTGGCAAACCAAAAATCAGAGGCTGTACAAAAAGTGTGAAAAAAAGTGGAATAAAGTAATTCTAAAGACTTAAAAAGGCTTTTAAACGATCAATAATGGTTAATCAGGAGAAATATGATAATAGGCAGGACTCAGTAACTGGATGGATGATTACATACATACATACACAGAACATACATTGCTACTTACTTCACATCTTACAGTAAGTGACTCACATCGGGGTGGCTTTGCTGTCCGCCCACAGATGCCTACCCTAAAACAGAGGTGATCTATACTTGGACCAAAGGGCCTCAGCATTCAGTGGAGGTCCCTCCCGAGTCCTCCAGCCTCGTTCAGTACGATCTCATCGGCCAGACGGTCTCCAGTGAAACGATTCAATCCATCACAGGTGAGACTCGCTCGTCCTTTAGCCATTTTAATATACTGAATTATACTGAATGCTTTCAAGCTAAATGTTTGCAGCGTTTGATGTGATGCACTTGGTTGTTTATTTCTCCAAAAAAAGAGTCGACTATCTTTTATTGAAAGAAAGAAGAGATGTTCAGCTGTCTGTGTGCATTGTACTATGTCAAACCTGGTAGATTTGCCAGGTCTACTGTGTATTTCCACATGAATGACAGGACAAATACTGTAGAAAAGCAGCACGGGTGGTAGATATTGGAAGGATTTAGACTCCGGCCTCTTGAATTCAAACACTGTTAATATCATGAGTCAAGGCTTTCACTTCATAAATACTGAAGGATCCAAAAAAAGATTTTAGCAGCAGGAAGTTGCAACAGGTGGCATGTGTCCATTTAGGTGAGAATGGATGGGGGTCACTAAAATATAGAGGATGATCAAATAGAATCAAATGTGACGTCTGTCTAAAGCTGCATTAACTGAAATCTGTCAGCCTGCAACTTTAAATTCTTTGTTAAACTAATTCATTCCTGTTGATCCTCCAGGTGAATATGTGGTGATGACGGTCTACTTCCACTTAAAACGTAAAATGGGCTACTTCATGATTCAGACGTATATCCCCTGCATAATGACAGTAATCCTCTCCCAAGTGTCCTTCTGGATAAATAAAGAATCCGTCCCGGCACGCACAGTCTTCGGTAAGTAGACCTCACACATCCCTCATCCTGCACAGCCTTTCTGCTCTCTGTTTATTTATTATATGCCTGCATGCCAACTTGAGTGTCTCTTCACTGAACAACAAGGTGATTTTACAGTGTGAGGTGATTATTGGGAATATAAAGAGCTATAAAGAGAACTGTTTTTTTTTATATTAAGATTGCTACGTGAAATGCTATTAGTTGTAAAACAGGTTTTAAGTGGAAGAATGAACAGCTGACTACATAAAGGAAGAAAACGTCTAAGCAAAGATGCCTCGAGCAAAGACAACGAATGTGGATCTACAAAAATTGTTTTGGCTTATCACAATCCTCTCAAGATGAAATATAAATATCCCTCTAAATGGGTTGAAACTGTAATAAAACCATGATGGGCCCCGCGAGAGTATTTGAAGTAGTTGTTAGAGGCAAGATGCACCAGGGGGTAGTTTGGATTTGGATTGTAGGTATCAACAGGTTTTTAATTATAAAGATATAATATAATAAAGATTATTTTTAGCATTTTTTTCACTTTTATTGGACAGCAGAGGCAGAGAGGAAACAGGGGAGAGAGGGTTATGAACAAATAGGAACATCCGTGGCAACTGAAGCCGACTTAAGCTGCAGTTCCGCCACTTGAGGCTGTCTGCAGAAGTGATCAATCTCCATAAGCCCTCATGTTAAAATGCCCAACTTTACAACAGAAATAAACATGTCCTGTTCATGATAACTGTACAGGGGTTTATTCACCTGTTTAAATTATATTAAGGCTTAAAGTTATGGTTGCTGTCTGTAACTGAACCGGTGATAATGCGGCCGCTGACTGACCCTGCGGGATGCATCATAAACATTTGGCTACCAATGCACTCCACAGTTATTTAATTTTACACAAAAAATACTATATAATCAGGATTCTCTCTTTACCACAGAATAAATCTTTTTAAAAGTCTGAAGTTAATTTAAAGTGGCCTATGTATAAGATTTTGTAGCATCTAGCGATGTAGTTGCAGATAGTTGCTCACCCTCCCTTTCCGAGAGCGAAGGAGAAACTACGGTGCCTACAAAACTATTTGCAGCCAAATCTAGGTTTGTCCATTCTGGGCTAATGTAGAAACATAGCAGACTCCATGTATAAAAAGGGCTCTCACTAAGGTATCGCAAACACCACGATTTCTATATTTTGGTGATTATACACTAATGAAAACATACATATTAATATTCCATTTCTGCCAGTATCCTCCTAAATATTACACACTGGACCTTTATGCTCGGTATTTTATCACATTTTCAAAGATTGTTGAATTATCCATGATTTCTGCGTTATCAGTTGCTTTCAGCTTTTTGGCCTGTGACCCAGTTACGCTCTCCCTGGCTCCCCTGGCACAACATTTGGGTCCCAGTCCTAGAATAGACCGATGTGTGTGTGTGTGTGTTGATGGAGAGGCAGAATAACAGACAGAACTACTAAAACCAGACCTAGGTGTTGTTGTTTTATCATTAACAGACCTCTCACTTTGTCAACCATCCATTATGTTGAAGGAAAGTCATTCAATGATAATGGCACTGACGCTTGTCCTCCATTTTGTAAGTAGTTCTGATAGATTATGTTTAAGCACCATTTACAACGGGTAATTTTAATGTATCACCATGACTAATGAGAGAGAAAGAAAAACAGTGTCAGTGTCAGGTGTTATTCTTTCAGCTCTGTGACATGTAGACTGTTCATGATGCTAGAAGTATGTGGAGAGAACTAAATATCAATGACATACATTGTAAATCATTAACTAATGCTTTATTGATCAGTTACAAGCAGAACCTTTGGTTGCTGGCTGTGAAACGTCAATTTGACTTTGTGTCAATTACTTTTTGGAAAAAGGAACCCGGACTAAATTATTTTGTTAAGAGCTTATTAAGCAGTTATTATTGGCTTAATAACATATATAACTACATTATTACCAAATAGAAAGGATAAATAACACATAATCCCCAGTACAAGCATCAGGGATGACAAAATGTTAATTTATTTCTATTGTGGTGCTTAAAACTCCACCGATTTATGCATCACATTCGTTAAACTGAACAGTTACAAAATCAATATTGATGGAGAAAAAAAAGAGATATCGTCTGTTTTATTCCACACATTAAAAATCTGATATCTACATTACCCAGAATACAACTCGACTGCTGACAGTTCGGTCAGAGATTTGGGTGTGTAGCTGCTAATTTAGCCCTAAGCCGCGAGTCTCAAGCAAAGATGAGGAGCGGGTTACAGAAAGTCTCGTAATCTCACGTGTTTCTCACTTCCGGACCAACTAATTTATCAGAATTCATGCAGCTCCCTCCGAAAGGCTTTATGTATAGTTCTCCCCAAGACCTGTAAACAGACTGATGTTTAAAAATTGGTGGAGTTCCCCTTTAATTATAATAATGGGGCTGCTGTTGGCTTGCAGTGACATTTAGTCAAACTATGACAGCATACTGAATCACTAATGGTGACCAAACAACCAACTGCCGTAATGACACACACACTGTAGTGTCACCTGTATCCATTCAGTGCATTTGACAGACACAGTGTAAGTTTCTGCTGTCGACTGAATAGTTTATGTTTTGAGTTTTTTAACTGAGCAGAAAAACGCTGCACGACCCTAGAAGTGTCTCTCAGTACTGTGCAGTGTAATAAAGCACCAGGGGATCAATGCCGCTCTCCCGCAGTGACCAATGTATCTGACAGTCCAGCTGCACGGTCCCCGCCTCCCCGCCCCAAACTGTCCAGAATGACAGAGGCATCACAGCAGCGCAACTATTGTCGTATCAGTTGAGCCTCTGAGGCAGCGGATTTCTGCTGTTATCCGCTGTGTTTAAATACACGTGTGTGGCGGTGGTGAGTGAGGTTGGGGTGGGAAGGGGAGGGAGGGTGGTCTGTGTTTGGATTTCTCCTCTTCCTCCCTGCAGCCACACTCTGTTTTGACTTCCTGCCTTGGTGACTCAACCACTGTGTCCTGCTGTGAGCGAGGAAGAGGCAGTTTGTCAGGAAGACAAACAGGAGTGGAGGGATGATTAGGGTTGGAGCTTCTTGGCTAGAAAAAGCAACATTTTTTAACAAGCTCATTCACAGCATCAAATGGTTTGTTTCTATAACTGAAGCTTGTCTGGAATGAGAGCGTGCAGGTGTGGCCTTTAATGGTAGAGGAGGTCAGATGGCTCTTGGAAACACATTGATTCGCTTTCCTTGTGAGAAGTAAGATGAGAAGTATGATAACTCTCTCATGTCTGTGTCTGAATTACATAAATGGAGCTAGGAGACACGTTTATCTTAACATAAAGACTGTAAGCAAGGGGAAACAGCAACTCTGGCTCTCTTCTGAAGTGCATTAATTAACACAGTGTATCTAGTTTGTTTAATCGGCACACAAACATAATATAAAAATGACATTTTGTGGTTTTGGGGAGAGTTGATACTTTGTGTTTCTGTCCATTTGCGTGTGTTAGTTAACTGAGCCTCAAGGTGCTCTGTGTAGTCATGCATGATGTTTTGCAGGTTACATCACAGGAGAAGCCATGTAAACAGTCATTTTGATATTTTAGTTTTAAAATCTTAATGTGTAAGTGTCTATTGGGCTGAGAATTCATTATTAGATTTTTAACTGAAGAAACTGTTAAATTTATTCACTTTCATCCTGATGCAAGCGATTGTGGCATCAAGAAGAAACAAGGTTTAAAGCAAAGGTAAATAGGGCTGCAACATTACTGATTAATCAGATGATAATTTTCTCAATCAATCGATTAGTTGTTTGCTCCATAAAATGTCAAAAAATTATGAAAATCAATGTTTCCCAAAGCCTAAGGTGACATCCTAAAATATCTGGTTTTCTTAAAATTGTATTAACTAAAAATTAATAATTGTTTATCAAAATAGCTGACGATCAATTTAGTAGTTAAAAAACTAATCAATTAATTGACTTTTTTAATGGTTTTCAGTGTAGAAATGGGAGGATTTTATACGTACAATTATTTATTAGTTTCTAATTATAGCCTGTGTTTACTTAATCTCTACATTGTGTTGTGCCATAAATATTTCTCACTGTAGTCAATACTTTAGTGAACAAAAGCCAAGCACATTGGATTATTATATTTCGCACAGATGTAGTGGCTGATGTTAATTAGAGGTTCTGGTAAATGTATTTTGTGCTCAGCTAGCTGTTTTCAAGCTGCTTTTAGTGTTTTTACTAAGCTAAGCTAATTGCCTCCTGGCTCCAGCTCTGTATTTAATGGACAGACATGAGGTTCATATGAATCCTCTGTAACACTTTATTTGAGAGCGGGTGCATACAATTGCCATGAATCTGTCGTAACCATGAAGGAATCTTCTGAATGTTTATCACAATCAGGTTTATATCCAGGTAGGTTTTGTATATACAAGGCATTTCCCTTCGTATATTGGTGCATAACAATAAAGACTATCTGCTGTTGAGAAGCATACATTGACTATAACTAAAATATTATAAAGACAAAAAAAAAGACAATGACATTAACCCATAACCCCATTTGTCTTATGCACACAACTGTAAATAAAGTGATACCAGATCTTCTCGTCTAGCACTTTGACACAGATATTGAACTATTTATTTAGAGACTAGATTTGTCTGTACCCTCTAAACTGTGGTATTTAGCATCTGTTTTTCTATTTTCAGTATCTAAGGTACCAAAATATCCCCGCAGGCTGCAGTCTTGTCATTGTGCGGAGGTGAAAATGAAACAGTCGGTGTAAAGATCTAATTGGTTGACTGGTAGCTCAACTGTAGCACTACAATCAAATAAGTGAAAGCAAACGTATCTACTCAAATATAAAAAGGCTCAAATACAGTACAGCACTGCACTATTAACACATATTTATTTCTTTATTAGTTGCACTGTAGACATGAAAGCTTTTAACGTATGCAAAGTTCCAGTATATCTATCAACCATCTCGTTTTTTTTTTCTTATGTTGAGAACAGCTTTATATTAGAGGTTAATATCCTCCGTCTGTGGCCTCAAGCCGCAGCTCACCTATCAATGTCACCCAGCTGGTTTTGATTGACAGGTAATTATATGGCGGTCACGTCCGGGGCGCGGGGGATGAATTTATGTTGGGCAAGGACTCTGCAGCACAGATTGTTCCAGGTCTCCAACGTAAAGGGGATTTTCTCCAAATCACATTATTGCTATTGGTTAATAATATGAAGGACAAATGATGAGCTACAGGCTTATACAGTAACCTTCTGTTACACATGTGACCTTGTGTGCTGGCCAGATTAGGTTCTCGATTTATTTGTACGGTATCTCTATTGGTACAGCAAAGTCAAATGTGTCCTTTAGTTCTTTGTGGTATAAACTCCCTTCACTTACATTGTTTGTACAGTTGGGGTAGTCCACGGTTGCTGGTGTGGAGTAGGAGATACACATACATTTAGGAAACTGTAATCTCTCAGTGACGATATATCTTTTGATACACATCAGACTTGTAGCTATTTGGAGGCAGAGTTTGTCTGCAGGCAGAAATAATCCTATTGGCCAGGTTAAACCTTAACTGGCGAAGCAGTTGTTTGTCCTCCGTGAAGTACATTTGACTACATCTCAGTGAAAATGGATAAAAAAGAGAGAGGTGGTAGTGACAGTCACACTGAAGGAAAATATCTTACCATAATTTGTTCATGTTAGCTTGTTAATGTGTAAAAAAGTGTAATATGGTTGAAGCTTAATACAGAATGAAGTTGTGCTGATAAATGTTTTTAAATTAAAGGTCCAGTTTGCAACATTTAGGAGGATCTATTGGCAGAAATTGGATATAATATCCATATGTATGTTTTCATTAGTGTATAATCAGCTGAAAATAAGAATTATTATGTTTTTGTTGCCTTAAAATTAACTGTTTTTATCTACAGAACTGACAAGGGATTTCCAATCTGCAACTACAGCGCTAGATGCCACTAAATCTTACACACTGATCCTTTAACAATGAATAATATATTTGTAATGTGAAAGACATTGTTTGTAGTGATGAACCCACAGAGAATCATCATGCAGTTCCTTTATTCTTTAGTGTTTTTCATTGTTTTTGTTTCATGGCCCGTAGCTTTACTGCTTCACACACACACTGTTCTCATAAAAACTTACTTTTAGCTAAATGTTAGCTCAGCTTCACTCCTGTTTTGGATCTGTTGTGGTCTTCACTGACTCCTGAGAGAAATATATGGATATTTAGCTGCTGAATATCCACTTTCTTCACCAGCTAACCTTGCCTGATGTTTGATGCTAAGCTGTTTTCAACAAAAAAAGGCACCCAGCACCAAACAACAGACAGAATAAGTTAGCTTTTAGCTGGTGAACATAGTGGAGCATTTAGCAGCTAAAGAGCCAATTATTTCCCTTAGGAGGTGATAAAGACCAAAATGGAGCTAAAAGAAGAGTAAATACTGAACTAACATTCGCCTGGTAGCAGGAAACACGACTCCAAATGAATGTTTCTCTGTGTCTACTGGATGTGTAAACTGCTAACTTTTTGCCAACACATATCAAGTTGTTAATAAGTAAATTTTTTATATGTGTACAGCTTGTTGCCATGGCCCCCTAAGTGGCCCAAAAGACCCCAAAAAACATTCAATCAATGTAGGTGTAAACACTTCTTTTTGTCTCCCATTCCAGAGAGCCGAACGTATTCTGTTCTTTATCCTCCTGCATTCAGTTAATGAAATATGCTGATGAGGAGCAACATACTGTACATGGGTTATTGAACACTGTGCAAATGATCTCTATCATCATTTATTTGGCAACGACACGAAGAAAATCTCTTGCAGGGTTTCTCATTCTTAGAGCAGTTTCACAAGCAGATAAATGTTTAGTCTTAATTGTAAATCGTTTTTATTACAAATTAGATGTATTTTATTAGACACTTGGACTTATGCGGTGACCTCTAACACAGATATGTTTCATATTGTCCTGTTTTTCCACTGAAGGCATCACCACTGTCCTGACCATGACGACACTCAGTATCAGCGCTCGCCACTCCCTGCCCAAGGTCTCATACGCCACCGCGATGGACTGGTTCATCGCTGTGTGCTTTGCCTTCGTCTTCTCTGCCCTCATTGAGTTTGCCGCTGTAAACTACTTCACCAACGCACAGATCGAGCGGGCCAAAAAGAAGCCAGCCAAATGTCCCCCGGTACCCCAAACAACGCCTGTCAAGGTCAAGGACGGCGAGGAAGTGCTGCAGGTGATTTTTGTTTCCTTCAAAGTGGCCGTGGCAAATAGTCTGATAGTACTTAACTTCAAGGAGCACTTACACAGCATGTCCCTTATTATGTGCTTACTGTATCTGGCCTTTAGCCTAGACTTTTGAACGGCGAGGAGTGGGCCAGCCTGAGGACCGTCAGCTGTGCTCCTGCTCATAAGAGCTGAGAGGCTCAGAAATGTAAAGAAAAGAGGAGAAAACTGATCCCAGGATGTGCGTTTAGGCCTCTATTTAACACCAAAACCTGCTTGTATCTCACTGTTGAACTGAAAAGATTATGATGAGTTTTTAGCACCACAAATCTGAGCATACTGTACTTAAATCCCAGGCTTCTGAAAGCTCATGTGGTTCCACATCAAACAACAAACACGGCACTAGACTTTAATAAATTGGCGGTGACACACGCAACCACTATTTTACGGTCGTCCACAATGTTTAGGCTTTCGTATATCGCCCACAAATGATGTTGATTATGTGTTCACTGTTCCCGAAAAAGGTCAAAATATGAATTCTACCTGTTTCTTTCACCTGATTACACAGATAATTGCTCCGTCAACCACAGCTCGACATGTTGGAACACGTGTTAAATGAGGTGGACAATAAAATTAAACACTTAAAATATTTCTTACCTGTTACCCCCAGATCAGCCCGGGTAAATTTAGCTTTTGTTCAGCCATAAATGTAGCTAATGTGCTAATGTAAAATGTGCTAATTCGCTGACTCTGGTTTAGAGAAGAAAATACGAGGAGCGAGAAAACAAAACAGCATTCAAAAATAGCTTCAGATCACAGATGTGTACGGCTAATCATGAGGTGTTCCTCAATTATGGTGCTTGCGGTGGGACCTTTATTTTGAAATTCCACATGAATACACTGACATAATCTCCTATGTCTGTGTCACTAGTTGAAACAAATTACATTGACACCATGGTAGCTGACATATGGATTGGATCAGGATTCATGAATATGCCATGAAGCTATTTTAGAGCTCTTTTTGTCAGATGTGATGAATGTGTTACAAATCACTGTTGTGTGTAGCAGTGCATTTATGGCGCTGGATAAACACTGTTTTACAGATGGGATGGCTGGAGGAAGTGCGTATTCCTTCTAAAGAGATGAAAATAAATAAATATATAGGTCTACTGTTAACTTATCACTGAAGCTGACATCACCCATGCAATGCGTGTGTCAGTTTTACACTAACTACTTTAAGTTGCCCCTTCCAGTCCAAATCCCAGTGTGGCGTAATCATGCCTGAATGCAGTATAGTGACAACGGCACTTCAGTGGATTAGTAGGTTGCCACGGCAACGCAGCCCGAGTACATCTGTATAGGTTTCAGAAAAGGCTCTGGCACTGGGTTGGGGTGGCGGGGGGGGAATTAACTCTATTTTCCTCGAGAGCAGGTCCTGCTGGCGCTAACCAGGGTTTGGCAACAGGGTCAGGGTGTGTTGATGGTTCACACACACACACACACACACACATAGTTCCTCTGCTGCACATGGGACACAATAACACTTTCAGTTTCAGGGGGGGTGGATTATTCCTGCAAATGCCTTAGTACCAGCATCACACTCTCCCTGCTTGAAAACATCAACGCTCAAAGGATAAGCTCCTTTGACGCTACACTGCATTACAGCCCCGATGAAGTGCTACCTACTTTCTGTCTTAAGCTTGTGTGAAATGAGTGAAATCCTCGGTAAGTGACATCTGTATTGCACACACTCGACTGCTTCCAGATGAAGGCCATCTGTGTCGGGGGGGGACTGTAATCAGATCAATATGACAAGGTTTATGTTGCCCGGTTGCTTTTCAGGAAGGAAAAGCGAGTGAGTTTTTACCTTGCCTGCAAATGCCTTCAAAACGAGAAGCAGACAGGAGGAAACTACGAATCCTAATTTTCTCAGCTTTATTTATTTTATTTTCTCTTCTGACTCACTCGGACCAACTTTAGTTTGCAGTGCATAATATTATCACTTTGTAAATAAGTGTATTTATCAGGGTTTTAATAATTTTGTTAAATATTTTAAGCAGATATAGTATTTAAGTATTTACCGATTTAAAAGGATATAAAAAGCCTCTGAAACGCTATTCAGACCATGATGTAACACTTAATCTCTTCACCTAATGAAACTTCCTTACTCGGATCAATAGCTCATTGTGGACTATAAAATATAGCCTTGTCTGAGAAATCGATATTGGACATTTTAAAAATCAGATATATTGACTGAAACAGCAGTTTATGATGAGGATTCTTCAAATAAATCATGTTATTAAAGAATTGTGAACAAGGTACTGACATTCTGGCTTGGGGAGTAACGAGTTACAACTGAGTTAATTAATCAGGATACAAAAAAAAGATTAGATTAGATCAGATTACAGTTACATTTAGTAAAAAAAGGGGATTGTTTAGCAGGATTACAATTTCAATATACATCAGTTTTTCTTTAAAAACACATTGAGCATACGACACATTTTAGATAAAAAAAAACTTTTCGTTTCTAAGGTTACATTGTTCTGTTGTCTCATAAAATACACTCGTCAATACTTCTTATTGGCATTCATTTTCATTCATTTTTATTTGTATATTTGGTGTTGAGTTAATTCAGAAGTAACAGTAATCAAGTTACATTACTTTAATACTATAACACTTGGATAAAGGTAAGCAATTAGTACTTAGTAGTAGTAGTAGTAAGTGACCCTCAGAGCCGTGCTGACATTACTTTGATTTAGATTCTACTGTAGACTCCCAATATTGGTAAACTTCTGTATCAGTGCAACTTTAATAAACAGATTATTATTGGTGTTTTCTCTCTTTGTCAACAGAATCCTGATACCAACGGGAACCTGAGAAAGCGGATGAATTATATTTCCCACCAAGGGCCCAGCAGTCAGCAGAGAGCCCAGTCCACCACCAATATTTCTGGAGTGGGAAGAGCGAGACCGCTGCGACCTTTAGTCAGCGGAGCCAACGGCAGCTCCTCCACCCTCTCCCGCTCCAGCCCCAAATCTGAGAGCCTGCTCAGCGTGGCCTCCTCCTCCGCCCAGCTGGTGAAGAGCACGCCGCAGGCTGCAGCTTCCACACCAGACGTGATGGCGGCAACACCGTGCAAGCAGAACGCCAGCTCCTCGTCTCTGCAGCATCTGCTCGGGCCCAAGCTGGAGCGCATCCAGATGATGGGGAACAAACTGGAGCTAAAGCAGACGCCGTGCTCTCAGCCCACTACTGCTGGTATGGGTGGAACCAGCAAAATTGACAAGTATGCACGGATCCTGTTTCCGGTGTCCTTCGGGGCTTTTAATATGGTCTACTGGGTGGTTTACTTATCAAAGGACACGGTGGTGGCAAAAGGCGGCTAGACTTTGCTTTGGCAACAAGCGACAACTCATTTCTTCTAACAGACGGGAAGCTAAGGATTATGGGAGTTTGCAAACAATAAGAGGAAACTATTGTTCTTGCCAAACACATAAACAAAAAGTGCTCACCAAGCACTTCCATATCCTGGAGAACACACTCAGAATACATTTATTTTTTCTTCCTAAGGTCCTCGAACAGCAAGCATGGGAACAAATCAACCAAATTAGAAATATCTGAGTCAACAGAAGAAAAGAACACCTGCACACTGGAATATGCTACTGTCCTCTTTATATCGTGCTACATCTGACTGTAAAGGTCTTCACTGGCTTCAACTGCCTCATGATCCCTTTTGGCCTGCAGTCGTGGTTAAAGCATGGGATTTTTTCATTTTCCTATTTTTGTACCCTGCACCCGGCAAGATATTTGGATGTGTGCACCACCGTCCTGAAAATGAACTACACCGACGCTATGTAAATATATACATTTATTAGGATAAATGGATTTATATTTAATGATTACAGTGTACTTCAGTTTGAATATTAAGATGTGTTGCTTTGGTGCCAGCAGGCTAGATGATGCAAAGTTAAATTATTTTAGAGAACACAGGGACTCCGGTAGTGGTTTCCAGGGGCTTTCTCTTTATCCTGATAAACTATAATTCCTGAATACTGGCCAAATGACAGTCACACTAAAATGAAGAAAGGTTTTGGTCAGAATAAAAGTCCTCAACTGAGGCCGAGTGGAGCTTTGGCCCTGGAACTGATCAGCCCTGAAAAGCCTCTCTTGTACAGTACCTACTTGCAAAGCATCTTTCTTATACAAGATGGATTAACTAAACGGGAAATACTGAAGATGAAATTTGGGGATCAGTCGGGCAGAAAGTAGTAAAGACAAGTTATTAATTCCTGTAACAGTAGGATTTAAGCTTCTTTCCTGCCATAATGGGTTACCAAATAGTAGACAAAGATTGTGCAAGTGATTAAAATACAGTCATTGCATGAATAAATAGAGGGAGCAGAAAGTAAAGCCATTCGTCAGTTAGATCACCGCAGCAATAAAATAGTGAGTTGGTTGTTTGTTTAGGGACATTTGGCTATCACAATAAAGGAACTGTTCAACAACTGCTTTGGGGGAAGAGACTGAGCTGACTGCTGTCATCCACCTCATTGAATTGTGTCTAACAGATGTTAGAGTGAGAATGAACCTGTTTCCGGTTTGTTTTACATTATTTCACAGCATTGCATGGTGTTAAACCTGTCTCACGTGTTACTGGATGAGGTCTACAAAGGACAGGGGCAGATCTAGAGAAATATTCATGGAGTGGGGAGGCAAAAATATATATGCTGATTTAATCACAAAAAATTTGCTTGGAAAAGCTTCCAAATGAAGATATTTTAATTAAAAAACATCACATTATCATAGCACATTAGTAAAACACTGAATAGAAATATCTTTAGTTAGAAACCAATACATTTTATTTCCAAATCAAATCTTTAAACATTTTTCCAAATACATTTTCATTTAACTTAATCATCTAAAATGTGACCATAAAATTATATGTGTTAATTTAACATTTTTAACACGTTATTTTTAATGTTAATTTAAATTAATCTGTTAATTTGACAGCATTTGGAGCCCCTGGAGATCTGGAGCCAAAGCAGTGTTGTTTTTTTCACATTGTGAAAGTTGGATGAAGCAAAGGGTACGTGTTTGTTTGAAGTGGAACAGCCTGTTGAGTTTTATTTTTCAGGCAGCCTCAGAGTTAGCTGATGTACAGCTGTCAGTCATTCATTCAGCCGCTGTTAATTGGGCCAGCTTTAGGGTAATGGGATTTATGCTAGCTACACCATATTACCAGCCAGAAAGAAATCCTAATACAAGTCTGAGTGCAGCGTTGCCTCTAGCCCTGCTGTAGGAAATAGTTCAACATTTTGTGAAATACATTTTTCTGCCTTTTCTCTGAGAGTTAGATCAATACCAGTCTGTACCCTTCATATAATATACAGCCAGTAGTTGGTTAGCTTCACTTCGCCTAAAGACTGAAGGCAGCCGGCCTGGATCTGTCCAAAACTAACAAAATCCATCTGCCAGCACCTTTAAAGCTCACTGATTAACTTTACTAATTATACACCAGGAAGTCAGCTAGCAGGCCAACTGTTTCCCACTGTTTCCAGTCTGCCAATGGTAAGCTAAGCTAACCGGCTTACAAACATAAGAGTGGTATCAACCTTCTAATCTAACTCTCGGCAATAAAGCAGATAAGTGCATTTCCCAACATGCCGAACTCAACTTATATAAGTCCTGTTTGTCTCTGTGGAGATGTGACAGTGCATTCAGTCCTGTCCTCCTAGAATATAAAAGTGGCCCAGAAAACCTTCAACCATATCGAACTTAAAATAGCTTCCTGTGTGATCAGGACCTACCCTCAGAGGAGATGAAATATAGTGCTGATAAGTGAATATTTGAATGTGTGAAGGACGTCATTACCTAAATATCACACAACATGACGTCAGACGTTGTCCTCTCAGCCGGCTCCTGCGTCGAGGATTTCTTGTCATTGTTATTGAGTCCTTTCTCCTTTCAAAGTGACATTTTTAGTGCAAACAAGACTTCTGTCCAGAAACCATCACACAATCATAGTCTTGGAAAATAATTAGACTCTCTGACATCCTTTGACATATAAATCTTCTTTACAAGATAATTTACAAGATACATCCTCAGTACATTTTGGCAAAAACCCTGCTCCACAAATAGGATATAGTTCCTCATGGCCTAATTTACTTGTCTCCATTATTCAGTGGAGTTGAAGGTTAAACAGTCGGTGGATGAGCTCAGCTCCACTGTACACCTCTGCAGACAGAGATGTCATATGGATACAGTGCGTGTGGGGATTCATGATGTAGTGGGTGCCTAGTTTCTTGCTCCAATAGCCGTATCATCCATGTAGCCATGATTGTTGGCCCTTGTCGATTGGTGAGTGTAACAGGAGTTATGATGCTGCCACGGCGGCGAGCAACGTGCTGGCTGATGGACAGATCAAGATGCCCGCCGCCACTCACCTCTCCTAAATGCAGTCATGTGTGAAATTGATTTTGCCGTTGTTACCTCCCTGTTGGCCTCACTCTCCCTTCTCTGTCTCTCACAACAGTGTACACAACAACAAAAAAAAGTCTCATCATGAAAACACAGAACATCCGTGAACTAATGAGGAGCCTGTCAACAACAGATTGATGTTCAGTGTTTATGTGGCGTGACTCTGCTGCTCTAAATGTGTGCAAGATTGATGGAGCTGTCAACGCCAGGTTGTGAGTTTTCTGGGGTTTTGTTGGGTTTTTTTTTCTTCTTCTTTTAAACAAACATGCTGTTTCTAGATGACAGACAGATAGTTAAAGATGCTCCACACGCTCACTCACAAGCTGACACTGGTGCAGGTTTGTGGAAAGTTCAACTTCATCTTGAGATCAAGCTCTCAATTAATCATTGCCATTTCAGCTGTTTAAATAGTTCAACAGTATCAAAATAGTGCAGATGGGTTGGGTAAAATGGGGCAGTCATTGTAGTTTTAGAGCACTTTTTGAAGTAAATCATGGCATTACACTCCCTCTAGTGGCTCAACTGACCCCTTTTTTATTTCGAACACAATCCTATTCGATCCTGCTTGTTGCCGTTCAGGAATATTAATAAACATGATGATGAGAGTTTTTATTCAGCTTCTGCTTTTCTACCAGAAATGTTGGTTTTCAGTTGGCTCTGAGGTGCTAAAAAACTGAACGCTACAGGGTCAGGACACTTTTTCCATTTTTATTGCTTTGCGCATGATTGGGTTTGTTGAAAAGTCACTGGTTTATAACAAAGAAACAAAAATGAAGCAGAGAATCGGAGGCGTCCAGCTGTCAATTACTTACAACTAAATAATCACACTGACAAAAGTGTGTTGTCTAAAAAAAGAACATTTTTCTTTTTTCTTTTTTTAGCAGAAGTTCAAAACTTAGTTTCCCTTTAAATGTCTTTTAAATTATTTGATCTCCGCTGACAGAGAAAAACCTCCTTTATGTTATAATCATAAGGGATTTAAGGACACAAAATGTACTGTATGTAAGGGTGATCTGACTAACCTTGTTTTTAGGAAATAACTCCTCATCCTGGTAACAGACTTTGAAACCTGTGTATTTTTATATAAAGTGGCAAAAGAGCATTTTAAAGACCCCGAAACCCAGTGCTGTCAGTGACATTAAGACAGTGATATACTACATATGCCTAAATGGCTACACAAGTCCCTTTCCAGTCAATAGAGCACTCTCCAATAATGTCAGAAAAGTTTAACTTAATAGTTTTGCACTGTAGTTTCTCTTTATAAATCTCCAAATAAGTCAAGATTATTTCAGAGTCAACCTGAAACATGATGGATAGCTGTTCACACATTCAATAACAAGAGCAAGACATTTACTGTAGGGTGTTTAATGATTGTGTAAATGGACTAAACAACTAAATATATTTATTAGAAGTAAGAGGCTGGGGAATTTGTGTGATTGCCTGGTTGTGTAAAGAAGGATTTCAGAACAGTCTCTATGTTGGTTACTATATCCAGTTCATGGCCTCACACTAAACATTTAACATCTTGAGGGAGAAGAACCACTAGAGGGAGCAACATGCTGTGACTTCAGGTGATCAGAATCAGACTGGCTTCAGTACATAACGCTCACACAGGCTGATTTGCATTAATTTCCCTGATTTTAAAGGGTTAAGTGCTCTGAGAGTGAGGGGATTCAGAGTGTACATGAAAATGAGGAACAGTTTAATTTCATGAGCCACTCTCAAGAGATTAGCACAGCAACACTGTACAATAAACAATCTCATCTGTCTTCATAGATGGGAATCCTTTAGGCTAAATGTTGTCTGTTTGGGGGTAACCGGTTTAAGAGGGGGTTGGGGGTTTCTTCAACACAGAAGCTTCAGCAACAAAAACTGAAAGAAATGGGCCTCAACTTTATTCCCATATTTTATCATATCTTCATTTGTACTGTATTATTGTGTTTTGGAAGAGCTAGAAGACACTTTAACCTGAACTCTTATCACCAATGAACTGTTGTTGGTAACTCCATTCCAGCTTTATGAGACATGTTTCGGTATATTTTAATTATTTTGCTCACATATCCAATAGTTTTATCATATGTTTTAAATATTCTTTTTTAGCACACTTTTCTTGCAGCTTGTGTGTCTAGAAATGGTTTCCTGTGTGATGAGATCTAATTTAACCCAGTTTTTGAATGGCATAGGCCATGATAATTAACGTGTAGGCCCTGGGTGAGTGAATATAGGATAATACATTCTAATTTGCATTATACTTTCAAGTCTTTTTGAGGGTTACTGATATTCCCGGTGAAGAAATGTGTCATGATTCCCATCGTTTGTTGTGTCATAACATTTACACGCGTAGAGTGAAGAGCCTGAAAGTCTTTTCT